TAAATTAGGAGTTTATTGAGGCAAAAGTCATAGTTAATGGTTTGTTAATAGCGAGAATTGGACCTTAAAATAAAGTGGGACCAACAATGGTGGCGTTTTAAGAAAACCTATAGGGTTTGGCAAGCGCACAAATGGGTGCAAATGCTATTTAAACAACGTGGCGCAGGACGTGAAAATGATTACTACGTCGGGCTGAAACTAGCAAAAAACACTTGCGTCGCATTGCACCAGATGTATGATAGGGCCCTTTATATATAGGGACCAATTCTCACTATTAACTTGTTGCTTATTAGCATGCCTATTATTAACATATTGGCTGTTTATTTGTATTTATAAAGCACATAATCTACTACATCCCTAATCCTAACCAATACCTAAATTGAACAACTACCTAACTAACTATTCATAAATTAGGAGTTTATTGAGGCAAAAGTCATAGTTAATGGTTTGTTAATAGCGAGAATTGGACCTTAAAATAAAGTGGGACCAACAGTGGTGGCGTTTTAAGAAAACCTATAGGGTATGGCATAATTCCCTGTGGCCATACATACAACGACAACATTCCTGAACGATTAACCCACATTATATCTAAACAAAGTGCATGATGCACTATTAAATAAAATTCACAGTGAACAACATTAAATATAAAAATATGTCTGTGCAGTTTTTATTGCATAAGTGGGTAACGGCGAGGTGGGAGCTAATCAAAAATATACGCGATAATTGATGCAATAAACTGCGCACACTCATACATTTATATGATTTAGTAAAATCTGCCATTATGATTTCTACGTTGTTAAAATAACAATAATAAAGAAACATTTTAAAGACCAAAACACAGGTAAAAACTACTCTAACCATAATCCTGAAGTAGGATCCAATCAGAGAATTCGCCGTTATCATAACATCAGCGTTCATCGTGACAGACACGCTACCATGAAGCAAGGCTATTAACTTAAAGATTTTTGTCTTTATGAGCACCAATGTTAATACTAAAAAAGTCA